CTCGCTTGGTAGTATTCCCATTGCACTCGAAATCAAGCGTAAAGGGAATCGGTTTATTCCTATGTACACTCCAAAACAAATTTGTTAATTTGTTTTTTGTTCTATCCCATATTCTAATTTTATTTTAGTCTATATTAAGTTGTAACATGATTTACATGTCATCATGTACGAATATGTCTCACTTTCAAATATACAGCCTGTATATGCCAAGTGTTCGTAATTTCTTTAAATGGCCTTATAATATACTAAAGTCATCGAGTACATAAACTCATTGAGTTAAGTGCTTGGATATTCTTTTGTTTTTTTGGCCATTTTTCTATGTTCGTCACGGAAATAAGTTCTAGAGTGAAGAGCGATAACGAGAATGCCTGCAAATACTGTGTCAAATATTATTTTAATTTCCTTTTTTTTGCCTTTTCTATTATTCAGCTTCTTCTCTTTAGTCTTCTATTATTTCCCCACATTGTTTGAGGAAATCACTATATAAGCCTCGGTGGGAACGGGGGTTGCTTGACTCGTATTAATACAAGGCCTCGCTCGCGCTTGGCTTTGTAACTCATACACCTCCAGCAATCCCTTACTTCTCGGCCTCTGCAATAATGTACTATCGTTAAACATAAAGTAAATAATTATTATTATTTCAAAGACGTTAGTAACTAGTAAATATATCTACACATTACAAAGCTCGGTAAACATGAAATTTAGTTTAATGACATTTATGAAACAATGTTAAATCGGAAAGCCTGATGCTTTGCACGTTCCAATAACGCGAATGGTCAAATGTTAGTTCAAGTATTGAAGATAGAGTTCCAATTATTACGTATAGATGAATTCTTTAATTTGAAACACTATCCAATCAGTTAACCATTTACCAGTTAACCATATTAACCATTGACATTACACAAGTTGGACTTCCCTGTTGAATACTAAATATCGATTATTTGTAACTGTAAAACTACATAACAAAGGTGCATCTAACCCGGATGACAAACCGTCCACTTTTGCATGGATGCACGTTATTTATAAATATTTAGATGTTAAGACTTTCGTGGTTATTTATTAAACGGATATCACTAATTATAGATTTAATTAAGTAATTATTGCCTCGGTGGCCGAACGGTTACCGTGCCGGACTGCCACGCAGAGGTCCAAGGTTCGATTCCCGGGCCGAGAGAAATATTTGTATGACCTACATTTATTTCTCTCGTGAGTTTGTGTGTCATTTGTGTTTGTCTATGTGTGTGTCCATGGCATCCGCGATAGGGTTAGAGTTAGGGCTATGTTGCGTATGTGCGTTATTATTATTATTACTTACTACGGTTTGAGTACTTTTTTTTTTCCCGATACATCGGAACGGTTACGGCAGATGATAGCTTTAAGAACAGACATGTCTATTTAACCTCTTTTTGTAAGAGGGTAGACAGATTATGTCTGTTCTTAAAGTTGTCATCTGCTGCTGGCGAGTAAACCCGTGACCATGGAGCGTGAAATATCGGGAAAATAAAAACTCATACCGTGGTAAGAAACCTGTAAACAATATTCATTTAAAAAGTATTTACAGTTTGATACACAATTTCATATCCAATGTTATGATGGAAATTTTATTTTCATCAACATCGTGATTCATTCGAGTATTATAATAGTCAAATAGAAAATTGAAATTACTTATTAACAGATCTCTTATAATGGGAATGAAACGTGAGATACGCTTGAAAAATATGCTATATTAAATAATATGTATATATTGTGTAAATTATGTAGTGTAATGTGAATTATTAATAATATATTTTTCACCTTACTAGCTCGGACAGGCTTTCTTTCTCATTAGAAATCTGCGCGCAAAAGCGTATTTTGCGCGCAAAAGGGTATTTTGCACGCTAGCGTGGAAAAGGCTTTTGAAATTCGAACTGTGTTGCACCTAACCTTTTCTTTCGATGAAAAGATAATGGCACGTTCAATTAAGCGATTACATTGACAATGGTAACTAATTGTGTTTATGAAATTACTTTCATTCGTCAAAGAACTAAAATAATTTCAATAATCACTTAATCACACAAAATAAAAGTACAAGCAAGAATAAAATCGATAAGGTGTAAATTCATCCGAAGATAAACTTTTTCTTTTCATTAAAAAAGTTTTATAGTTCTACTGTTTTTTTTTTTTCATCTACCATTTCCCTCGATATAGTGAAAAGTTGTGTGTTTTGCTCGGCAGCAAAGTTGTTTTGCATCTCGTGCCTGAAACCCTTTCTAAGTTCAAGAATCTATATATGAACCACGAGTGAACCTACGCTTGCTCAGGTTTCAATTTAAGCACTCGCGGCAAACAACTTTGCAGCCTTGCTTAATAAATAACTATTTATAACACAACAATACTTAAACGAAAATTTGTGATATGTGTGTATTTACAATTAAGGCAGCTTCCCACGTTTCGTGAATTTATCGATTGTCTCGCACAATCGACAACCACGCACCACCTCCGCCCATTTCATAATAATTTATTAACGGATTGCATAATAACAACCTATCGCCTCGCACCAGCCAATGATTGACATGCTTTGAGACATGCACCGCAATTACGCGTTAGCGTTACCAACGATGGTCCTGTGGTGCTCGCGTGTGAGCTCGTGTGAGGTGATCAGCAAAATCAGGGAGCGTGAAACATAGTATAATAAGATAAGTATGGCAACTTTACACAAACGTAGCAATGCGGCTTGTATGTGTACGCACCCGCCGCGCGCCATGTACGAACACACTCCTTCGCATAATCTGGCGATGCGGTCGCGTTGTGTACAGAGATAGGCAGGCGCCCGGGTTTTATTTAACCTGGCGCTTTATTAATACCGGGTTTAAATCGGGTTACACCCATTAATGCCCGAAATCGAGGACGAAGACTATTTACAACTAAATATTTATAAATCTGGTTTTGTTATAATTATTAATACAAAGATCGAACACTCAGAAAAATTCGTTCGATACAGCCGGATTCGAACCGACGTCTTCTAGCATACCGTGTCAGACACTATACCAACTAAGTCACGGAACGAACCAGTGGACCTCACGAATTTTTCTATGTGCTTGCATCGTATCTTTGTATTTGGTTTTTCAACGACTTTTTAGTCGTAGCGTCATTTATGAGAAATCTATGATATTTCGTCACCCAGTTAGATACCTTTACAGATACCAGCCCGCTATGTCGCTGTTCATTGTATTGAAATTTTTATTGAATTGATATTCAATTATTTTTATGAGAAATTACTCCACTATAGCATAGCGTCGAGTATAGGTATAGTGTCTGACACGGTATGCTAGAAAACGTCGGTTGGAATCCGGCCGGATCGAAGGAATTTTTTTTGAGTGTTCGATCTTTGCATTAATAAATATAACAAACTAGTGGATTTGTTCAAATGTAATGATATTATTACAAAATGTTTATTGCTTGCTCACTTATTTTACCTTTCTATTGAATCGATTCGCTTGAAAATCGCATTGAAATGATACATAAAATCGTTAGATCGTATACACTTGAATCGATTTTTACAAAGTAATGCATGCCTTTTTTGTCTAATAAAGATTTTTTACATCCAAATTCCAAATAAGTATGGAATTTACCAACTTCCGTATTATTTTGCGTATATATCAGTTCCGCCCGCGATTTTGGGCAGAAATGGGTTAAAATCCGGCACTTTTGATAAAAGCCGGGTAAGAGCCTGAGCGGGTAGACTAGGTTTTAACCCATTGCCCATCTGTAGTTGCGTAGCTAAATCTTATTTAATTTTAATAAATTTTCAATTATCTGTTTATCGTAAATTTTTTTTTGTTACAATAAACCTTGTTACAATAATGCGGTTTCTTTATTGGAGAACTAAGGAAACATCTCGAACTCGTCGTCGTTCAATCATTGACAGATGACAGCACACTGATTGAAATTTCAATATAAAATCAAAACATTGTAACTTGCAAGAATGGATATTGCACTTTCAACGATATATCAACAGGTCAAGTTTAAATTATATTAGCAGTACAGAATTTGCTATTTCTTTTTAACCCTTTATTATTATACGAATGTGTGCATCCATACACGGCGCGCGGCGGGCGTGCACACATACAAGTCGCGCTGTTACATTACTATGAAGTTACCATACTTATCTTGCTATACTATGGTGGGAAGCTGCTATTACTAACTGTGATTAAGTTCAACTGTAGTTACTGATGAAACAAATGAGAGATAAGAAGTAACAAACGGCGACAACGCTATTCAATTCTTGTTTACACAACTGTGGTACATGGGTGCCTATAAAATAAAGTGATTACGAAAACTCTAAATAAAGGCTGATTCACGTTACACCGTACTGGGTCCGGGTCGTCACCGTGTTATGTCGTTTCCATCATGAGCCGTCCGGGTATTTTCCATTTTTCACTTAAAGTGATAAGGTTGTGTGTCTTAATGCAATTTTCACAATTTGAGTTAGCAGCTATTGCAATAGCTCTTGATGACGAAGTATTGATAACACAAGTTGAAACTAGAAAAAGAAGATGGAGTGTACTTCCTCCCAGGAGAAAACTATCCGAAGGAGAATTTGCCACGGTCTGCACAGATTTCATAGATGAACAGAGCACTTTGCACTTGCGCTGTCCACTAGGACACTACAGTTCAACGTTGACTACCCACCGTAAAAATACTCGACCCTGTGCCCCGACCGCGTCTGGGCACGACCGGATGAATCAGCCTTAATTCTTACATGACAGCTAATATGGTTATTATTTATTCCATTTAACCTAACAACCGATATTATTTATATACATAAGAACGTAGATAAGTTATTGTAATTTTAATCAATTATCGATTATTCTATAATATTACGAGGAAATTTGGGGTTTTTTTAATTACTAATTAGTACGCAATTAGACTCGTTACATAAAACAAAGTTAAATATCCTGAAACATTACAAATAATATTATTTACAAGATTTTGAACAATTATAATTATAGTTTAGAGTAAAATGATTAACAACTAATATCACAAATATTCTTTTTTGTTTCACGCTTAAATTTAGAACAACAATAATACCAACATTAAATACAGAATGAAACTGGGTGCGTTCCTACCAACTGCAGAATATTTTAGCCGTATTTCGTTTTGAACCGGGTGCCCATAACTTTCTTCTATAGTTTGCATAAGTTCTTTGGGACAGGGAAGTGTGTCTAGTGGAATGTCAATAAGCTTTTTAGCCTTTGTTTTAGCTTTCTTTTCAACGTAATCGTCATTCTTATCGTAATAGTCGTAATTATCGCCAGTTAAAACGTTCTCGTTGGAGGTTTCGATGTCTTCTTGATCGTTGAGACGCCGTTCGACTGTAGAGTCTGTGAAACATGAGATTTTTTCGAGGGCGTACTTCAGGGAATTGTCCTTGGTCTCGTTTCTTAGTACGTAGATCCAGGAGAGACGGCAATCGCAGCTGAGAGGGTTACCTGAAAAGAGAGGGCCAATTAAGTACCTTATTTCCATTTCGGTTGGTCTCGATGGCTTAAAGTCATCTAGACGAATAATCAATGACATCCCACCTATAACTTGGTTCATTGAAAAACACTTTTGAGGTATAAAATCCTAAAGAGACTTAAGCAGTTAAATAGCGGTAGTACTCGTATAGTGACACGTCAATTGCGTCTCAATTAAGAAATCCGACCTTTCACAAATCGAAGAAATTTAACAACCGTTGGAAAACATCTGGAGTCCCAAAATAGCATTCTTTGAGGAGACCCCTTACCGGCAGTGGGACGTATGATGGGATGTTGATGATAATGATTATTTATAATAAGAAATACATTCTCAAGAATCGTAACATAATCTGACTTGATTATTAATAGGAATATTAAACACATAGAATTTTTTTTTCATCCCCGTCTTTCCATTATAATCATAACAAAACTAGTGAAGTTATTTGACAAAATAATATCATTAACTTATAGTGTTAAGTAATTAATAGATTCAGGAGTTACTTTGTGGAAGTCCATGTTAATAAAAATGGAAGAAAATTAATTTGCTACTCCGCGAACCCAGTGAAGGTTAAATAGTGCAAAATGGCTGCGCTTGTATTTAATGTTTTTTCATGCAGTTAATTAACTTTATGAAAAAATAATAAGTTAATAATAATAAATAAGTTACTTAAGTTTCTTACGTAATCTTCTCGGGGGAATCTGCATTGCGAATGAGTCAATAATGTGATTTGAAGTGTGATGTGCTAGGAAATAATCTCAGTAAAGAGTACTAAAAAAAACTGACTTCAAAAGTCATTCATCCCCTAGTTTGCTACCCTTAGAGGTGGAATAATTTTAGAAAAAGTTATCTTGAGTGTAGAATAAAAACAATACACTATTCTGTGAAGCATTTTTACATCGTTGAGCAAAACATCACAGTTCTACGAAGTAACATCAGTCGTATGGCGTATTTTAAAGTTAGAATCGCGTAGTCTTTGATCTTTTGTCGTATCATCTTTGACGTTAATAAAACAATACTAAAGATTATTATCTAGTAACGAAAGAATGTTCTTTTAGAAGTTTATGTACGTGAGTAATAAAGGCATGTTACATTGAAATACGCTGTCCGTATTTCTGAGAAATAATTGTTATAGAATGTTAAATTTATATTACACAACGAAGCCTAATATAATGGTTTGATGATAACGACGTCATTGGCGCTGTTTTTTCTTTACTATAATAAAGCGACGTAGGCACTCTTTAGCTCCGATATTTATTGATCCGACAGATTATATAACGAAGATTATCTTCTCTAATGTATAGATTTCGGAAACTGTGAAATAAATTATAACGAAAATAATTATTTATTTACACATTATTATTAATTATTGTAATACATTTTTAAAAATTGTGATCATTTAGTTTTTTTTTTTAGTATATAATAGACACACGCTTGGCCACAATCTCACCTGATGTTAAACGAGGATGTGACCGTAAAAAATGCCTATTCACTCTAGCCTTGGATAGCCCCAAATTGTACTTTTCGGGAAATATAGAGTAGAGCATTCCATTCCTTTGCCGGACGCATCAGAAAGTAGGAAGCAAAGTGCTTAGTGCGAACAGGTGGAATATCAACGACATAAGAATGTAGTGCTCCGGACCTTCTAGTCGACCGAAGGAGGAACGGTGAGGGTGGAACTAAATTAAAAAGTTCTTGCGCACACTCCCCGAAATGCATCTGATAGAAAACCGACAAGCAGGCTACTTTTCTGCGATGGTCGAGATTTTGTAGCTTCGACTCCACAAGAGAATTGTTGTTAATAAGTCTCTTTGCTTTTCGCTACACCGAGACCAAGGCAGCTAACTGATAATGGGCAAAGCCGTCACCATACTGGTCAGCCACGCAGCCATGAGCTGGGAAATATATTCGTATGGCCTACATTTATTTCTCTTGTGAGTTTAGGTGTAACATGTGGTTGTCTGTGTGTGTATCCATTAAATGAAGTTTCCCTAGTGCGGGTCAATGAGGGTATGCGTTATTATTTTTACAATGAATCGAGTGATACTTTTATAAATGAACTGGAATTGTCAATTAAACCCTCAGTAATATAAATTACTAATTCTTTTTTTTATAATATCAAGTGACGGTAAGGTACACGCCTGTCGATAACAGTTGCAGTGCCACTCAGAGCTTTAAATCGCAAAGATCTGAGGGGCACTGCCACTGCGACTGCGACTGTCGCCCTGAGACATAAGTTGACAAGTCCCATGTGCCTGTAATTTCACTAGCATCCTTACATTACTACTAGGACGAACTCTTTCACAAGGAGCTCTACTGCTTCTCAATTCATTGTGAATGTGAACGTGTCACATTAAAACTTCTTCATAAATAATGTCGATTATTACAAGAATCGAATCGGTAACGCCTTAGGACATCACTAATTTATTAGTACACGAGCTGTCAAAAGTACAAAAATGAAGGGTTGGACGGAGTGTAATTCTCGTATTTTGTGAAAAAATGTTTCTTATTTCGTAATCGTTTAGTAGATATTCCTTGAAACGGTTAAGTTGATTCCTTTTTCAAATTTAAATAGTATCAAAAACTTGCAATTCTAAATTTCGAAAATTTTCATTTAAAAGTTACCAACTGCAAGAATCAGTGTTAGCGTCGAACAAGTTCTTAACAAAATCACTGTTTTTACAGTAGTATAAGAAACTAAAAGCGAAGTTCGCAGGGGACATTTTTAACTCCATCTAATACTTTTAATTTGCATTCTAGCAGCGTCGCTGAATTATCTAGGAAGTTGCCAAGATTGCAACCTGCTACGAACGGATAGTTCGAACCTGAACGCGATAGTTGCAACGAAAAGTAGGTCTTTACGGGAACTTGGCACGTGCACCAGCTCTATCGAGTGCCCTGCTCCATTAAGTTACAAGAAATAATACCCCTCGAACGGTGCGAGAAATGTAATAACGCTACCAAGGTGTTGAAATGAACTAAACTATCGGAAAATGTTTCGCTTAAGTTACTAATGTAGCAGAACCGGCGCTTACTTGCATAAATGTTACTAGATTTCGTTTTTGTACTAGAAACTTATAATAAAGCTATAATAGAAATGTAATTCGTAGTGAATACTTTAGGATAAATAACTCAATTCGAATAATGAAGGCACATTTTATGTTCATGACCATAGTCAAAAGTGCTGCGCGGCTGCTCCATCACAAACCTAGTAAGTCATTTAGACAAAATTTTACAGGAGAGCCCAAAAACACAAATCTATAAGCATAAGTATATAATTTTAAAGTGAAACAATATACCATAACAAACATTAAATGTACACTTTCATAACCCTTGTGTCGCTTGTGCCATAAACACACACATAGACAACCACAAATTACACCAAAACTCGTAAGATAAATAAAAGTAGTCCATATAAATGTCTCTCCCGGCCCTCTGCGTTACAGACCAGTACGGTAACAATTCGACATTAATACATTAATTGCAACCTTTCAGGCATGCAAGCCTTTTAAACCCGTAAAATTATTCTTTCAGGAAAGTAACATTCCGCCCGTTAATTCACTTCCATCTCTCATCTTTTTTTCAACAACAACATCTTACACCAACAATATCTTTGTATTTATTTATTTATTTATAAGAAAATTCGTGCGGACTTACAGATTAACCAACACGCCCAGCTAGATAATGGATTACAATATTAATTATAAAATGATAATAATAATAAATAAAAATAACTAACACAAAATAATATTAACAACAATTTGAATTCTAAATAGCTCTACAATAACATAAATTCACAAAATGTACAATAGCGGCTATGAGCTGCGACCAACTAACTCGCGAACACATCAGCAACCTAGTCAAGAGCGAGAAACTCATTCAATAAGACTACCGCTCTAGCGGTCGGTACGTTGAAACCCTGTAGAGTGCGCGTTTTGTTTGACATTGCAAAAAGGTTGCGTGCGCGCCATCCTAAGCGGCCCACTGTGCTAGTGTAACGATCTGGGGGCCTACCACAACCTCTTAAAACAATATTACTTTAAAATTCATTGACTTACAATTATATGGACGTCGGGTCCGCGCTAAAAAGTGTCCGAACTTATAGGGCGTTAAAATCGTATACAGAGCGTCATTCACGCTTTAGTCTTCATTTGTTCGACTGACAGCGAAGCAAGCAAAATTAGACAGTACTGCGATGACATTACAATTTAAATTCAACGTTTTAGCTTTTTCATATTTCTTTACATGTCACTACGTTTAAAAAGGTTGACTTGGGACATTTTTTTCGTGGTTTTTGTATTAGACCCGTCGTCCATTTATTTGTAAGTCAATGTTAAAATTACACTGACTTTTCGTACCATAACGCGCTTAAAGTAAGCTTATTATAATGTTAAAATTATGATGTTTTATTGGCAGCTTTATGACTATTCATTCACTCAGTTCGTACCATGGTGCGACTTTAACATTAACGTTGCTCTTATGTCAAATTTAGCATTCTTAAAATAGTTACACAGATGTAATGGAAACAATTTTATTTTCAGTTTTATTGTCTTAATATTGATTTGTAACGATTAAAAGCTAAGTTAAACTTATTTATTTACATATATCTCTTCAGTATATAGCTTCACTATGTTGAGTGTGTGCGTTATTATTATTATATTATTATTATATAGTGAAGTTTTTTATTTCTATTTAATTGTTTATTAAGTAATTTAGTTGTTTATTTCTATTTAATAGCACATAGGAAATAATTTCTCATTAAATAAATAAAACAATATAATAACGCCATCTATATGCTCCTTGGCGAAACTAACAGTTGACACTAGACTACAATTACAAATTCACAACGTGACAATCAAGACTCAGCTTGTTTTATTTATTTTTCTTTATGAAAATGCGGAAAAATAATAGAAAACAACGTAATTTTAATAGATTTCATTAGTATCTGGTCCGTCCCAAAAGTATCGAACATTTT